TCTGTCTGTCTGTCTGTCTGTCACGAAATTCCGTATTAAGCGGACAACAACCTACTGGGTCCAGGTCAAGTTTGGGATGGGTGTACCATATCTCGAGAAGTAAAAAACATACATTACCTAAGCGGAGCCCCGCCCACAGTGGGCGTGGCGTGCGTCGAAATGAGTGGTACTGAGGACCATGATTTCAAATTCAGTCACAAAACAGCCTCGAGACCGGGACAAAAGTGGGCATAGGTGTGGGTTGGTAAGCCAGATTGAACTGAGGAGACCCACCCTCGGTGGGCGGGGCGTTCTCTAGAAAATGGGTGCTCACCCGCCTCCCCCCCCGGTGCTCAGTGAAAATATTCATAACTCGGTTAAGAAGAAAGCCTACAGACCAGAAACGAAATTAGTGCAGGGGAGCAATGCCTAAGGTATTTCCACCACGCATGATGTGAACGGAGGCCCGCCCACAATGGGCGGAGCGTGTCGTGAAGCGGACAGCATTTTCTACAAGAGCTCATAAATCGGCTCCGAGATGACTTAGAGACCGGAAAACAACGGATAGAGGTCAGGAGGGGAGGGGAAGCTAAATGTCAGGGAATGGGCGTGGCTTACATCAAAGTGGGCGGAGTTTGCAATTAGGCTTATAACTCGGTTCCTAGGAGTCCCGGAGTCCGGGAAAAAAGCGTATAAGGGTTGGCAGAGGGAAAGGGGTCAACCGTTGTTGGCGGGCGGAGCATGCACCAAAGTGGGCGGGGTTTGCCCAGAAATTCATGACTCATAACGTCTTCTACAAGACCTCATAATTCGCTCCGAGATGACTTAGAGACCTGAAAAAATATGTGAAGAGGTGAGAGGAGGAGTAGAGGTTGAATGTGAACGCTGGGCGTGGCACACCCCGAAGTGGGCGGAGTTTGCCACCACTCTCATAACTCGGTTCCTAGAAGCCCCAGCGCCCGGGAAAAAAGTGGATAAGGGTTGCCGGAGGGAAAGGGGTTAAATGCTATTGGTGGGCTAAGTGTGCACCAAAGTGGGCGGGGTTTGCCTCAGAAATTCATGACTCATAACGTCTTCTACAAGACCTCATAATTCGGCTCCGAGATGACTTAGAGACCTGAAAAAAATATGTGTAGAGGTGAGAGGAGGAGTAGAGGTTGAATGTGAACGCTGGGCGTGGCACACCCCGAAGTGGGCGGAGTTTGCCACCACTCTCATAACTCGGTTCCTAGAAGCCCCAGCGCCCGGGAAAAATGTGGATAAGGGTTGCCGGAGGGAAAGGGGTTAAATGCTAATGGTGGGCTAAGCTTGCACAAAAGTGGGCGGAGTTATGCACGAAACATTATTACTCGGTTCCAAGAAGTCTTGGACACCAGGAAGAAAGTATAGAGGTCAGCGAAGGAAATGAAGTCTCAGTGGGCAGGACGGGGGAGTTACCCATGATTTTCGAAAGGGGAGTGTCTCCAAAGCAGTCGTACCTTGGAATCTCACTCAGCAGCTCTGCAGTAATAGAGAGAGAACATTGCTTACAGACCAGCCTTACCACCTTCCAAAAAAAAACCCTGTCTTGGAAGAAAGACCCTCTCCGAAACCGCCTTTCGTTGGAATCTTACTCAGCAGCTCTGCAGTAATTGAGGGAGAGCATTGCCCACAGACACAATTTCTCAACTACAAAACCTTCTCAGAAGTGAAAAGTATACCCTGCCCCAAAAAACCCTCTCCGAAACCATCGTCCCTAGGAATCTCACTCAGGAGCTCTGCAGTAATAGTGAGAGAACATTGGTCACAGACACAATTTTTCAGGCTTACCACCTTCCGAAAAAAACCCTGTCTTAAGAAAGACCCTCTCCAAAACCGTCGTCCCTTGGAATCTTACTCAGCAGTTCTGCAGTAAATGAGAGGCAACATTGCCCACAGACAGAATTTCTCAACTAGAAAACCTTCTCAAAAATTGAAAAATATACCATGCCCCGAAAAAACCCTCTCCAAAACCGCCGTCGCTTGGAATTGTTGTTTTCGTTCGCACCTAGAGATTGGGTACTGTCTTTTGATCGATTCTGTCTGAAACACGTAGCTCAATGCGGTGTAGGAAATAGAAAATATAGTTTGACCTAATAGTCGGTGTAAATGGGATGTACCGAACGGAAAACTAAAATCTAGAAAAGAATAGTGATCATCCTGTTTGAACCCCCGTGTGATGCACGCGAATGCGTGCGCAGCCAAACTGGTATCATAATATATATTCTTCGTAGCCCAGGTCCAGGACCCTCTCTCCCTCGGCGTTCCTCACTCCTATTCCTCTACCTCCGTGCACCCTTTCAAGACCTCTTCTGTCGCTGCCGACGTGCCCATTCAGATCACCTGCTATGGTCAAGTAATCGCCTTCCCGGGATCGATCTGATGGCTTCGTCAAGCCTTAGGTAGAACTCGTCCTTCTCACTCTCGGGGCATCCGGTCTGCGGAGCGTACACTGACAGTATTGACCAGTACCCCTCCTTCGTGTCTATCCTCACAGCCATTATCCGCTCGCTAATCCTGTTCACAGAGGAGACATAGTCTTTGAGCGACTCCGCTACCGCTATGGCCACACCATTCCGCTTGGTGTCTTCCCCATTGTAGTAGAGTTTGACACCTTCTCCGATTTCCCTGGCCTTGGCCCCTTTCCATCGCGTCTCCTGAAGGCATAGGACTTGAATTTTTCTGCGCGTCATCAGATCAGCAACCTCTCGGGACCTTCCAGTTAGCGATCCTACGTTCACAGTTCCAATTCGAACTAGCTTCTTTGGCCGAGGCCGTTCACTCCTCGGTAGCCCTCGCATACTGACCACAGAACTCGGGCGGGGGTTCTGCGCGCCACTTCCGGGTGACGTCCTAGCTTTATCACTGATAACTTTTAGACATGGTTTGTGTGACTGGGGTATTCATCAGCCGGCCTGTCAACCTGGGCCTGACGCTGGTACTAGAACCATTTTTGCAATTTTTGCAAGGCATGGTTTCGAGCCTCGGCAGGGATCGAACTCGCGGTTTTTCAGAGGTGCAGACATGAGTCTAACCTCTTAACCACTCGGCTATCCCTGCCTCTGCCCTAATTCTGAAAATCCTTGCTAAAGACCCGTGATGCATCCCTCAACATACTAACATATTTCGGTGACACTGAATTTGACTCGAAGAAAACTGCATTTGTACTGAAGTTGCACAGGAGTTATAGGACAACCAATAATTCATGGCAATGTTTCGTCGAGAGACAAATTCGCCATACGTCAGATCAGTTTAACTGTGTCAAAGGTTTTTTGGAGGCTTTAAGAGTTAAAATGCACCACATCGAATGTGAGAAGGTCGAGCAGAGCCTAAGTCGGAGCTCTCTAAGGAAGTTCTACCGCTATTGAAGCAGACGCGAACCTCCCGCGAGCTGTCATTTTGTGACCCGTAACCGTATCTTATAATCTTGCAGCTTTTATCTGATGCGATACCGGTATTCCCATGTTTCATTCCCTATCGTGATTTGCAATAATTACCTTGTTCCTATACTATTTATGGCGTTTCTCTGTAATGTACCGGTGTGGATGGATGTAAGTTCATAGCGCCCTTGTCAAGCGTTGACAGGGCGGGAGCGCTAGGGGTTCACGAGTCGCAAAGCCAACTGCGATTGAAAACGCTTCGGTTCATTCACGGTCGCGTTTTTTAAGGAAACACGTAGCAAAACTTGCGACATAGTTTTCGCGAAGTCGTTGTAAGTTTCCAAAGAATGGCCCCTAAGTTGAAACCACTCGTGTGAGGTACTTGCACATAGGTCAGCTGACACACTTCTTTCTTCCTATCCATCGGGACAGTTGCTGCTGAAATGTCGACGGATCTTTTTGTCAGAAGATTTGCATACTCTTTGAATGCCATTTTAAGTAGTGGTTCTTTAACTGAATTAATGAAAAAATTTTCAAATTAAGTACGCGAATCTGAATGATTTATATTGATTTATGAAAGTTTTCCAAAGAAAAGGTGATGTTGACTTGAGCTCTTAATTGTGTTGTACACTATTGAACAGTTCAACCATTGGAGTGAAAATCAGTCAATAGGTGAATGCAAAAAGTCATTACTAAATATTTGAATTTACCTTTTGTCAGATTCTTCTTCTCAGACATTAAATACTAAAGCTGCGGTTTATGTTTCGGTTAAGTGCTTGCGCTCAGCGTGTTAGTAAACGTCACTCTGGGGCGCTGCAAATAATTCGAGGGGCGTGTCGGGCAAACTTGATGCACCCATCAGTGAGTGGGTGGCCTGTCTGGAGTATGTGTTGGACTACTTGGGGAAATCCTGCCAATGCCGTAGCTGGTGCAATATTGAGTACACAAATAGTGTGTACTTCCTAGAACAAAACTACATAAATATCAAATCATAATTGCACTCACTTCAAAAATTCTTTGAGCTCACTTAGTGCAGGAGGCTCAACGATAACTAAAGGCAGACAGGAGCACTTACCAGTTCATCTTCATTAATTCAAATTAATCAGGCTGAGATGATTCATTCCAATACAATTCTTACAACAGTGTGAATGGAAAATTTCGACATGTGGTCGAATGCCTTCGTTTTGTTTCTAGTTTTGTCTTGACATGCACAGACAGACTGAGACTTTCGACTAAGCGAAACAGGAAGAGAACAAGGTTTCCAGGAACTTTCCATTTAGTCTCGTTCTTCCCAGCTCAGTTCTCAAGCGTGGACGGAGGTGAATTTGATCAGATTCTACATCTGCATTCATAGTAAATTTCGACCACTTCTTTGCCGTATCCCACACGCGGTGGGCTTCTTTGCATTACACCCCACTTTATTGTGCATGTTAGTTCGTCCATTTTCATGGATAAGTTCTATTTCAGCGTAGCTACTACCACATAATAGTAAAGCCAATACCCGGCCTTGCTTTGCACTATTTGCACTATCCTTCGAAAAACTAGTTTTGGATTTATATAACTTCACTGTAATGATGCATTTTGTCACCGCGCTCGAATGCGCCAGCATGGGGCTTGAGTGATATGGAGTGGGCTTCCGATTTTAAACCCCTCACACTGATTGCTCTACACCCACCCGGAGTATTTAACCTAGCCTGCCTAGGTCTGTCAATTTTCCTTGTTCTACAAGACTTCTTGAAAAATTTTGTGGACTTTGTAGTAATCATAAAAAAACAATTTAAAAACAGATTTTTACAGTAAACACGAGCCACGCTCACTGTTTGCGTGGATCGTTCGTGTCAGACGTATTTAGCGTACCATAGGCACCAAACCGCTTTTTTTTCGGGTTTCAAGTTGCCTCTGAATCAGGATACGAATTTTCGTATCAAGCACCGCCCACTCACACAATTCCCGCCCTCGACAAGTGCATCTCTTCCATCCTATTCGCCTATCTGCTCTCAGCTTTACTCATTTTGAATAGGCTTCTAACTGTGCTGGAATCAAGCCAGGAATTTTTGCTTTAGCACCGCCCATTTTTGCGCGTATTCCGCCCCCATCGTAGGGCTCGTGTGGTCATGTGCGTCATTTGCCATGCCTCACCTGTCCAAACTCTATCCAGGCTTTCTGGACAAACCTTCAAATCATATCGTCGATAAGCTTACGATCTGGGCATTGTTGCCCACTTATTCAAAATTATTCTGTTCCTGATTTTTCCTTGCAATACGTATGCGCGGTTGCCATTTCTGACGTTATGAACTAAACTCAATGGATGAAGAACTGATAATCGTTTTCGTCTATTGTTTTCTGAAAAAACCTCATTTCCATACGTATTCGCTTAACTGCCCCCAGTTTACGAGGTACGACGCAGCTATCAAAATTCCGCAAACGCACTTGAAACAGGAATACGTGTGTGGTAAACAAATACGGATTGCTAATCACGTTTGTTCGTTAAAGAGAGTCTTCTTAATTGATGGCGTCCCACAGCTCGTATCATTCTGGTTTTGCTTCTATTGAAAAATGATGTTTTCAGAATGCCGGAGATGGTGAATTGTTTGTGCAGTTCATGGGCCCTGCAGAGCGAAAAACAAATGCATTGATAACTCTGATGGCACTTGCTCGGTGGAATACGTCCCTCCAGTGCCGGGTGAATATACCATTGGCATCTGCTATGGAAAGGACGAAGATAAGCAGCACATCCATGGTTCGTTGAAAAGAGGCTGCTTTCACACAAATCTCACCGATTTGATGTGATCCTTGCGCAACTGTGGCCATGGAGTTGAGGATGTTCCAGGATCGCCGTTCCGTGTCATTGCCGATATGCCTAACGATCCTTCCCGCATTGCGGTCAGCGGGCTGCGACCAGATACGTTATTGGAAGCACGTGTTGGAAGTCCTGTTTCGTTCAGTATCGACGCGTCGCAGACTGAAGAAGCTCCTATCAGTGTCACTGTGCCACCCAGTATGTTTCATAACCGTTTTTGTGGATGAAAAGAAGTCGTCTTATCAGTGTGGTTGCAACAAGCTAAAGACGTATATCAGTCAGATTATACGAAGTTAATACGCTTGTTCTGATAAGCTTACGCATCACAAATTTTCTTTGCAGTTTATCAACAACCGTTGTTGGAGAGGGAAAGAGGCTCGAAACGTCTGTATCGCGCTCGTTTCACTCCTGTCGGTGAACCTGGATCAGTGATACCGGTAGAAATCATGTACGATGGTAAACCAATTCCTAGCAGGTGGGTGCTGATCATCACGTTCACCTGTTTGATAATCAAGAAGTACAATTGTACTGATGAAGCACTGAATGATTTTGTAATGTTCCAGCCCTTATCGTATCAAACTGCTTCCTGAGACTGAAGTCAACAAAGTAAAAGTTTGCGGATCGGATGGCTTATGTGCGTCATTCTTGCGAACGTTTTTTCTTGACTAGGAATTTTAGTTGGTTTCACGTTGTCTCTTTGTTTCATGTTTCAGCGGGTCCTCTGGATATCGTTGCGTCGCGACCGAGCACTGCTTGCTAATTGTTGACGTCTCGAAGTGCGGGAAGTTTACGATTTGAAACGTCGTAGTAGGGGTGCGTCCACTTGTTTTGTTAATGACGTTGTTATTGGTTAATCGCGGGCCGCCTGCGATAAGCGCGAACACGCCGTGTGATACAGTTGTCTCGTAATGGACCATGGCCATTACGTTGTGGCGGTTTGTATTCTAATTTCTGAAGATGACCATCAGTTCCAGCGAGCGAGTTCGTAGCATTCAACTTTAATTTTATTTTCTTATGTAAATAGTCTAGAAAACTTTGATAAGGAGTTCTTACGTTTCTTTTGGAACTTTTCCCGTCAAATGGGTCTCCTTATCTAAAACTTACTGTATTATATTTGTCACGCAAATTGCTTAGGATTACCATTTGAACTTATTTTCTTCTGCCGTCTAAATATGTTTTATTTGACTTCAAAGTTCCAAAATTGACCAAGCTTGGCCGGTCAGAGATGTTTAATCTAGATGATGTTTTTAATTGGTGAACAACCAACTGTTTGATCCGCTTGAGTGCCTCTCAGTCGTGAAAGTGATCTTCGTTCTAACTTCTGACAGCAGACTTGCCTGATCAAATGCCGACCAATAGACCTAATCAGAGTCCACTCTTCGTGTCCGTCATCAACGCATGTCTAAATTTTCGTCACTCTCACCCTTTCTTCTTCTTTTTACAGTCTCTTTTTACCACCGTATTCAACTTTATTAGTCGCTACGACTTTCCATCATTCCATTTTCCATCCGTGGCACTCGTTCTATCCGTGCTGTTTATCGTCTAGAACGCCCATAGAAGTATTTGCTTGAGGGTTCTGTTGAGAGTATGGCGCAGCCTCTCGTTTTTCGCCTTTTAATTGATTGGCTTGGCACAGGCTCCGACATGGCGTTGTTGTTGTGGAACACGTTTTTTTTGTTTTTGTGCGAATGCCAGCAGGGTTGTGTTTTATTTTGATCGCAACGACAGTCACGAAAGCATGAATCCTTTCCCATATTGTCACTCGCTGGGCAGAGTTTTCGTCGATTTCGCATTCAGTCCAAACAGCGCTTGGCGTCACCATCTGCTTTCTCGGAAATAATTGATAACACTTAATTCGTTGACGTTGTCTGCATAGTTTTCTGCAGAAAAGCAAAGCTGTATATATGTCACTAGAACTCTGAATCATGAAACTTCCTATCGAAAGAAGGGTTTTATTAGTCGAGGGGAATCACTGAGTTCAAGGTACAAGTTTTAACAAGAAAAATAACGTCACTGCTGAATTCATCACGACATTCGAATTCGGTTCTTCTCACTACTATAGACTGATGAATCATAACCTGATGGAAAGGTGATTCAAGGAGATGCTGGAGGAGGGTGGATGCTTGGGAGTTCGATTTCTGTCCTTTGTTGCAGCCTTGTTTCCTGCAGTCTCATGTTGCAGTCTTACGTATGCAGGGAACAGGTATTTCTCTTTTGAAGGCCCAATGTAAATCTTTCACAAGGAAGCTCGACGTATCCTATCGATTCATTTAGGAAAGGGAGTGTGAAAACACTGTAGTAAACAGGTCTGCAGAAAAACAACAGTGCAACCACAGAGCAATGGCTCATGAACAACAAAATGTTCGAGTATCAGGAATACCGAAGGCTTTTCATTTTTGTTAATCTCATCTATTCTCCAACAGTCCCTTTATAACATCCCGTCACAGTTGATTGGGAAATGTCAAATCCTTCTGTTTCTGCTCTAAACAATCAATTTCCTTGACGACTTTCTTACGCCATCCTGATGGCATGTAAACAATATTATGACTGCACATGACATGATCTTTATTAACCGTGTCTAACTATTAGAATAGATAAGTGGGCTGCTCGATCGGGTTGTCCAGTAGCTTGCCAATAGGACATTCAAGCACCACCTCTCTCTCACTCCTATTTGTCCCTGTTATTTATCAACCATATTTATTATTTAAAGCCTTTGTTATCATAATAGCTGTAGAGCACGGAAATTCTTAACCATCCACCATTCATTGTAACTTTCGCTTATGAGTAATGGATGTGCATTTAAGGGTCCTGATTCGAGGCCTCGCGACTGCGTTCTCAAGGAAGGAGCTCAACCTAAGCAATACGAACTTCGATGGCCCACTGATATGGCTGGTAATTACAAGGCGGACATTTTCATAAACGGCGAAAAAGTTGATCCACCGGTAACTGTGTTCGCAAAGAAGTCTGGTCATAAGAACGACATCAAATTAACAGGTGAGCTGAAAGATCCTTCAAGGTAACCTAGATGATTTTTGTTGAACAAATTTTTCTTGATACTGATGGCAGTTGTACATTGCGAAAGTTCGACCGAATGTATCTTGGAGCACATTCACCTCCTACTGAAAAGTGCAACAAATGAAACACTATGAGTGTGTCGTGCAAAGCACCGGTAGCTACAGAAATGTGTGGTCCATGAACAGCTGCGTGCAATTGAAGATTTATTTGTGATGGTGATTGCTCAGAATTGATGGACTTCCTTGTTTGATGAGCAGGTTGTGACCGTATTATTTGAAGAATTGCGCAGTTAATGCTTTACCCTCAAACTACACCGGCTTTTTCACGTTGTGTGTCCGATACACTGAGATCGAAGCGGAAAGAATGTATCTCTTCGAACACAGTACTCTCCATTTATGCATCGTTGCTCTACCCTGGCGCTTTTTCAATATTGCTAAGAGAAACGCAGGTTGCCGGCGTTGAGGAACGTCCAGGATGCTCGTCGACGTAGCCAGTGCCCACCCAGGCATACGCCATGCATCGACGAGATCAAGGGGTGATGCCAGATTGCCCCATGGGCAGGAACTGCGGTGGAAGTGTAACTATCAACCAAACGTGCCGCTTGCTATCATCTCGAAGCTGTCTCCAAGTGGGAAGCGTGCATGCCGTACTGACTATGGGCTAACCCATGGCCCAATTTTTGAATTCGGGCCGAAATCTTGATCTTCTCTAAAACTGCGGCTATAAGGGTAATTATAGGCGCTGATTACGAATCTGACGTCCATTTTTGATGGAGGCGCGATATTGCGCCATTTTAGCCTCCTCGGGCACCAACTCGGCGCCGCTTTAGCGCCATACAATTTTCGCCCCAATTCTGGGCAGAAAGCTAATCAGAAAGGTTGATGATGACCCTGATTGTAAGAACAGTACCTATTTTTATCGGCGGTAACATTTGGAGTCATTTAACATGCGCTAACATGAAATGCAAAATTTTGTCATCAGCCGGGACCGATCCCTCGACCGATTTTTCATACCTTTTTTGGCATTAGGAGGGCCGCTCAGAAAAAATGGAGCCTAGTTTTGTACTCCATGCATGTGCCCCTTTATCATGCAAAAAACCGTTTTCAAAAAGGGCTCCATGTCCTGAAAGACCTTCCTGGTTAGTGCTACGATCACGAATACGGCGTCGAGGTCAAAAAATGAATGGTGCACTCAGCAGCCGAGTAGCGGCGTACCCTCTATACGTAAGTTTGTAATGAATCTAGAGAACAAAGCGACAAACTACGCAGGCGCTGA